AGAAAAAGGTTTGTCCTTACTGCATTACTCTTTAGACTTTCTCCAATGCTACGATACTTTTAACAATTACATTGAGTTGTTTAAAGTATACTCCTTAGACCTTCTCCAATGTTGAGATATTTCTCAAAATGAAGTTTAAAATATTCTCTTTAGAGAATCATATTTTATTTCTATGAGAAATGAAGTTTAATGGTTGGAAGTAAAAATTTTTGGATTTGTTTGGATTGTTTGATTTGGTTAATTTTAAAAAAGTTAGTATGGTCAGTAGTTAGTGGGTATATTAAAATAATATTTAAAATAAAATAATTAAAGTTGATTTGATGTAAAAGTAGAAGAAAAATGATTTAAAGTGATGGTTAGTTAAAATTATGTGAGTAGATGAATAGCGAATTAAAGTAAATGTGATGTGTAAGAATGATTGGATGATATTATTAACTATATTGATAATATTGAGGATATTTGAGTTGGGTTAAAAATGTCTGAATTTTTTTTAAAAGGTTTATATCCAAGCATATTAAGTCATTATCCTATTACTTGAAGTTTCCAATGCTTCGTTCTCATATTTAAGATGTAGTTATTCAAAAGATTCTCCTTAGCCCTTCACCATACTTCTCACAATTCGCAAAATATTCTTGAGGAATTTGCACCCCTTACCATCAGTTATGATTTTTATTATACTTATATGTCTCTTATATTCTTATTTATAAAATTACCTAATCAAGCTAAAAATATTTCAATTTTACTTGACATTGGGATGTAACCACTATTCCCTTTTTTCCTGACATATTAAATGTTAATCAATTCCTTAATTTTAATTAAGGATCTCATTTACCTAAGACAAAAAATTGAAACTCAAGTCAGCCCCGTACAGATCTTCCTTCATATCTCTCTCTCTGCAAAACCCATCTCCAAATCTTCCTTCCTATCCGCCAAACCCCCGTCCCAAGCCAGCCCCATCCCTCGCGCCGCCGCATCCGCCTCCGTCTCCGCCTCGCTCAAGCATCGCCGCCCCGCGGACGAGAACTTCCCCCGATCATCTCCCGCCGTTTCGGTCATACCGTCGATCATTGTTTGTGGTTCTGGCTACGCCTTCCTTCTCGTAATATATCTCAGTTCGCCGGTTGTTTTTCCCGTGGAGGCGGCTTCCTTAGGATTTGTAAGTATTGTAATTGTATATTGGCCCTCTAGTTGATTCTTATTGATTATTATGTGTTTTGCTGATAATCGAAATTTATTTTTTCTAGTTTGGATCCAGTTCTAAACTGTATCATTATTCTCTCATCTTGTTTGAAATAGAATATAGTGATATGGTAAAACTAGATGAATCCTGATTAGACCAAAATTGTGTCCGTTATTGTACCATCATGTTCCGATTGAATGAGCACTTATTTTGCATATTCGATTTTTTTAATCGGTTATTATTTTTTTTTTAGGAAATAGCATCGGATATGGAAGTGGAGGTCGGGAAGGTGAAGAGGAAGAGGTTCTCCAATGGGGAGATTTACTTCTAACTGGAGGAGAGTGTGAGGGGTTGTGACGTTGACTTTTTGTTGGAACTTAGATATCAAATAAAGCCCTAAGAAATTATTCGTTATATGTTTTGGTATATGTAGTATGTATAAATAGTATATGTTCAGTATATGTACATTATATGTACAGTTATTACATCTTAGTTTATGTTCTATGTACAAATTAGTTTGTGAACTAATGTTTTTTTTTCTGTGTTCAATGTTTATTCATAGTTTATGTTTGGTATATTAGAAGATTTTTTGTTGAAAACAATACATATCATTAATAAAAAAAACTATCAATTCACATACGTTTCAAGGAACGTTAAACTTTAAAAAACAAAACAAGAAGACATAAAATTTTGATGGAAGACATGTTTTTCATTCCAACATATACTGAATATATACTAACATAAACGCAATATACACCCACCTGCACAACTGCGTGAGTTACTTTAGGCATTAATATAGATAAATAAATAAGATCTTTTTGTTGTGTATATGTGTGGTTTTATTTTTTAGCAAAATAGTTTACAAAACATAAAAGTAAAATAAAAAGTACGTAAACTCAACATATACTAAAATTATTCAAAAACTAATTTAAAACAAACATAAACTATTTTTTTTTTTTATTTTTTTTTTATATCTATGGTTTATGTTCAGTATATTTGCGGTATATGTACAATATATGTTAAATATATATATACTCGACTGTGACTATATGTGTTAAATATATATATATATATACTCAACGGTGACTATATATACTCTACAATCGTGACTATAAATTCAGGATTTGTATTAGGTATAAATTTAGAAAAAAATGCCGCAGTTATCTTATTCCTATTTACATTCCAAAGTGAGCATGACTTTTTTTTTAACTGATTTCAGGCATGAATGTAATTAATTATTATTCATTAGGTATATATATAATTAATTTGTTATGAATGATAATTATATAATATCTTCCCAATCGTGTGGGAAGCATAAAAATTTCCCTTCTTAGACCTTCTTCAATGCTGCGTTACTGACATCTCACAAGAACAAACTTCTCACAAATTGAACTAAATCAGAGTAAACTGTCAAACGAAAAATATTAGTAACATCAATAACTCTTAAGAAAAAATAAGATAGAATAAACAAAGGCCATCTTAATTAATAGTAATACTTCCTACAAGTCATCCACCAATCATACATCACATCTTTTCCTAAATGTCAGCCAGGTTAAATTACACACAACCTTCACAAAAANCCACAAATGTAATAATAATGTACAAGCAAGTATTTCAACAGGTCTAGCTAACCCAAAGCTTCACACCAAACAGATTCACAACTCTAACCAAAAACATCGGTTCACGTAACCCGAGAAATACCGTAAATACCCTCAAAAAACCCAGATCCGACCCGCCACTAACTCACCTCTGTGCTTGTTCTGAGGCGGGCCCACCACCGCCTATAGGAGTCGTTGATACACTGCTTGAGGACCCATTCTCGACAGGTGGCGGCACCCCCCACTTGCCTTCGTTTTCAAGGGGCTCAAACACGTGAACCGAGCCATCCGAGAGGCCTAAAGCGAATTGGTTCGGTTCTTGAGGATGCGCGGCAATCACGAGCGGGTGCACATTTGAACTGCTCGAGGGACAAGTTCGATTCTTATTTTGTTTGGTAAAACCTAGCTGATAAGCTAGCTTATAGCTTTTAACTGAATTTCAAGCTTATAGCTATAATCTTATGACTTGTGGCTGAAAAACTAACTAGCTTATATGATAAAATTGTTTGGTAGAATTAGCTGAAATAAAAATTTCAACGAACTTATTTGAAAAGCTAGCTCGAGCTTTTTAAAAAAACTTATAAGCTTATTATAACTTCGTCCTACAAAATCAAGATTATTTGAATACAGGAAGGTCATAAGCTAATCAAATAAACTATAAGCTAGCTTATATGCTTACGAAACACAGTATAATACTCCACACACCAAAAAAAAATAAAATAAAATAAAAGGTTTAGCTTAAGGTAGGAAGGACTTGCCTGATGCTAGGAGCAAGATAAGCCGAAGGATTAATACGGCATCTCAACCGTAGGTGGGAAGCCGTGAATACACACACGGTTGCATCAAGAAAACAGGCATACACGAGCTGGCTATCGCACGAGAACGTGGCATGCGATATAGGGGCAGCATTTTCTCGTTGGGCCCACTTGAATTTTCCAAAAAAAAAAATAATAATAAAAATTATGTGTATTTGACTCTTCGTAAGAAATGGCACAAAAGAAGAATCTTGAGCAAGTCCCTCGAGAAAAATTATAATAATAAGTAAATATATAATAATACCTGTTTGACACATTCTAGTTTTGTGGTGTCGTAAATGGCGAGTTGGGTCTCGTGCACGACTAGGAAATGAATTTGGTCCTGATGAAACTGCACGCGAGTTTCGGATTGTACTCCAGGTGATCTTCCGGAAGGCAGCTGCAAGAATCTCGATCTCTGCTTTTCCCATCCATCAGAATTCCACACACAAATCTGGGACAGGACAAATTATAAATAATAATTAAGGAAAACGGGAACATTAACACAGGCCATTATCAAAGTTATAGATTATTATTGACCTGAGCATCAGCTCCTGATGAAACTAGCACGTTCAACACATGCGAGAAAGCAAGTCCTGTAATTCTTTTCGAGTGGCCTTTAAGCTTACTTTTCACCTGACAATAATTTAATATATATAAACAACTATGGAACCGGAAAATTTATGGTTTTTTTTTACTTTTTTATTTGCTGTAAATACCTCGTCTACTCGAACATTGTATATTTGAATCGTCGAATCATCCATCCCAATTGCAATAATATTATTATCTTGAGGATGGAAAGCTAAGAAAGTTGCTGCTGGTGGAGGTGGCATGAAAGTCGTCATTGTCTGCACAAAATTCATGATCAATTTCAACAGATTATTTTTTTTTTAAAAAAAAAAAGAAATGATAATGATTCAAAAATTCTCCCAATATTCATAAAATTGGTTTCACCTTGAAAGTCATCATGTTAAACAAAGATATCTTTCCCCCCGATGCTGACATCACGTACGAGTCATTCTTGGACAGAGCAAAGCAAGAAACAGCTTCCTCGGGATTCGATTCGGTTATTACATCATTGGTCATCAAAATCCCGCTTGACGGTTGCCATAGTTGAGGAGACACATTTGCGGTTGCCTACAAAATGTCGAAATACTTTTTTCAAGATAAATTTAAGTGTGAAATCAAGAGGGTTAAACTTTATTTATGGTTTTATATTTTATTTTTCTTTTTTTTACCTTGCCACTCGAATTACGGTCATTTCGCTGCCATTTCCAGAGCAAATGGATTGCATTTGAAGCTAATGCTAATATTGCGCTACCCGAATTTGTATATATCAATCTCGATATCTGTTGTTGTATCAACATAATCGAGCGAAAATTTTGTTAGTAACATTCGTTGCAATTTATAGATAATGTAACACGATTGTTTACGTGTTCAGTAAAACACAACACACAAGAAATTCAGATAAATATTGTTACAGAATATTAAAACTGCCATATTTTAGTGTAAACTCACAACACAAATA